GAGTACAAAATCTTTGTACTCTGAGAAAATATTTTTATGTGAAATGTTTGTAGCTAGGGTGAGATGCTCTCTGGTTTTGCAAATCCCCAGTGTTTGGCAAACAGGCAAATTACAGTGATCGGAAATGAATACTTGAAAAACAGTAACAGTTGAGCATTATCTGCCTCATCGGTTTTATAGCAAATGAGCCTACCAGGTTTGTGGGTACTGTTGAGTCGTCTTGAGTCAGACAGAAGGGACCTTGGGGATTACCCAGGGCCAGAAGAACTCTAAGCTGCCTGCCAGTTCTAACAAAATGTACATTACAGTCTGTGGATGGAGATTGGAGAAGATAAGTGTCTCTCCATTTGAAATGAATTTAATTACACATTGTTACCCCAAACTGCCACTGTTTTCCAAATAGGAAATCATTCTCAAGAAATAATATTTCAGGTATTTACCATTTTCTGCAGATAATCTCATATTTATCCTAGCATCACATCTATATATGCATTTTTAGGGAATCATTCGACTATTTGGAATGTTTCATGTTGGCATTATACCATCTGGGCAATTTTTTTTCAGAAAATGTTTGTGTAGCTCAAGTCTAAGGGTAATGGTCTCCATTTTGTGGTTATCCACCCAGAAATATTGAAATAACTCAGGCCAGAGGTGCACATCCCAAGTTAAACGACAAAATAATTACTCTCCTTTTAATCTTCATGCATGAGAAGTAATGAGAAAGGAAAATGTCTGCCTTAAGCCATGAACAGCAAGTTCTTTGGCATATTTGTACAACCAGTAATTGTTTATGTCGAACAGATTGTTCAGGTTCAGAGTTAAATATTTTCCAAAGCTCATACCTGAATAGCTTTTCCCCAGATCTTTTTGTTCTTTTGACATATACTTTAACATCTCTTCATAAACATAATAATATCCAAAGAAATGAATCAATAGAGTTGATACTTTCCTCCTTTTAGAGAAGAATCCTGTATTGCCTCAAATGGTTGCATAATCTGCCCTTAGTCCTCACTAAAAGCAAACTCTTCCTCTGTCCCCTTCGCCACCCAGCTGCCTGAATCCTGGACAGCTTGATGGTGCGGCCATCCCAGACCTGCTTCCTCCAATATCCAACTACTCTGAAAGGGCCATCATTTTCCTTTCCTGCAGGCCCAGATATTAGGGTTGTCACTGATTTTATTCCCCACCCCGCCCCCACATTCCTGCCACGTGGATTTGTCCAGTCCTCCTCTCCTGAGCTCAAATGCCATGTCTTCCTCACCGCTGATCCAAGTCCTACTCTTGAACATTCTATTTAATTCAGCTTGGTTCTTTATCTTTGAATTTCCTTGCTACCTGTGCGTAGCCTGAATATGCTGCCTTAAAATTGTGTGTCTCATTGTTTCATATGTATCTTCATGAGATTCAAAGTTCTCAAGACAAAGATGAAGATTTCAGTATCTTCTCAGGTATAACATCGTTGACCCTCACCCTCACCCTTAGCGAGCCTCTTCTGCTTTCTTCCACGTGGAGATAACAGTATCTGTTAGCCTATTCAAGGGTATTGTGAGAATCAAGTCACATAACATATGTAAAGAGCCTTTATAAACTGAGGAGCTGTATCAAAGGCCATGAGGTTATTCTGGTTCATTAAAAACTACGTCAAAGCAAAATATTTTGTTTCTATAGAACCATAGGAGTGTCCTTGCTGCCTTCTATGAAATAGCTCAGGCTTTGTGCTTATGGCCTTCCATACAGTGAATTATGCAACTAAAATGGAAAAGCCTCGTCAATTATTTGGCTATTTGAAAACTCATTTAGAAACATTTCTAAGTAATATTCATATGGTGAAGATTTATAACATTTTCAGTTAGAAATTATTTCTGAATATATACTTTAAAAATGCCTACATGATATATCAACATACTAACAGGAAATCGTAGATAATTTGTTTTCCTTTTTATAGCTATCTGTATTTCTAAACCTCTCTACAATGAACCTATACTAGTTTTATAATTTGACAAATCAAGTATTTGTCTACTTTATCCAACTCTGAGAACATTGTCTTCTATTAAAACACTAGTAAACAATAAGCAAAGTTTTGTAATATTGGAACTTTAAAAATTTTTTTAAAATATTATAGGTTTTTCTCCTATTAAAACACTAGTAAACAATAAGCAAAGTTTTGTAATATTGGAATACAAAAAATTTTTTTAAAATATTAGGCCAGGTGCAGTGGCTCATGCCTGTTATCCTAGCACTCTGGGAGGCTGAGGCGGGAGGATCACTTGAGGTTAGGAGTTTGAGACCAGCCTATGTAAGAGCGAGACCCCGTCTCTATAAAAAAGTAGAAAAAATTAGCTGGGCATGGTGGTGCACAACTGTAGTCCCAGCTACTAGGGAGGTGGAGGCAGGAGGATCACTTGAGCCCAGGAGTTTGAGGCTGCAGTGAGGGATGACACCATTGCACTCTAACCCAGGCAACAGAGCAGGACCCTGTCTCCAAACAAACAAACAAAAACACCACAGTGTTTCATTTAACCTCAGTTTTCTCTACAAGAAGAAGAGGGTATGAACGTTCCCATTTTAGAGAGAGGGAAACTGATGCCCTGAGAGGTGCCCTTTCCAAGGTCAGGCTGTACATAAAAGGTCAAGCGAGCAGGCCTCTCCCTGGAATATGCCTCAGCCATGTGATGCCAGCAGGCGTGGGGTCTCAGACAGCTACGCACAAGTGGTGCTGAGTTGCCCTGGGTCCAAGGGTAGGGAGAACAGCAATGCCTGGGGCTGCACGATTGCCTGCCGTGTTCTTACGTTACCTCTGGGGTTTC